ATACTGTACCTCCTACTGTAGTTACTTTACAGGGAAAAAGACACATGACTGACAGCAATTAGCAGAACTTTCTTTGTGTCTTCATCTCCTATACAGTGGTGCCTCGACTTACGAACGTCCCTAGTTATGACCAGCTCTGGCCGCAAAAGTTTGCTTCTGCTTGCGACGAGAGCTTCCACTTACGGACAGAAAAAGGCAGAGGAAAAAGGCAGGAAATTCAAATTTCTAACTGTAGGTGGCGACAAGGCTTCATTGTAGCTCTTTCACCCCAGCAGTTAGAGAGTGTGTGTCGGAGGAGGAGGCTTGGGACTGCCTCCTTCTGCTTCTGAGTGAGTGTGTGTGTGTTTTTTCAGAGAGGCTTGGGGCTGCCTGGTAAGCTAAGGTGCAGGTAAGGTGCTGTTTTCTGCTTTTAAAAAACTGTTATGGGTGTTTTTGCACCATGTTTTTGAGCTGGGGGTTATGTTTCTGTGCTGTGATGGGGGTCTTGGGGGGTTTGTTTGTTGGTTGGTTCCCCCCTCCATTTCCGATGGGTCCTGCATACTTCCCTTGGTTTTTTTCCCTTTGTTTTCTTTGCATTTCCGACCTGCCCCTTTGTTTTCTGTACATTTCCAGTGGGTCTTGCATGCTTGATTGCTTTTCTCCCCCCTCCCCCCAGCCAAAGGGATTAATTTCCATTGAGTCTTGCAGTGATTTTTTTTTGGTGATTTTTTTCTTCAGCTGGAATGGATTAATTGCATTTCAGTGCATTCCTATAGGAAACAGTGCTTCAACTTACGACCATTTTGAGTTACGTCCATCTTCTGGAACGGATTATGGTTGTAAATTGAGGCACCACTGTATGTCCTGTCTCCCTGAATCCTGCTACATAAATACAAGGAGATAAATATAAGAGGAGTCTCCTTTACCAAAGGAGGTGAGCCCTTCCACATGCACCCTGCAGGGCAGATCACACATTAGTTATTAAAACATAAACACAGCCCTTCACATTTTTCACTTATGTGTTATAACTACAGTGGTGCTTGACTTACGAACTTAATTGGTTCTGGACTCCAATTGTAACTCGAAATGGTTGTAAGTCGAAGCAACATTTCCTATAGGAATGCAATTAATCTGTTCCAGCTGAAGGGGGGGAAATCGCCAAACAAACAAATAAAAAACCCATCTGACCCATCAGAAACGTGATTAATCTGTTCTGGCCGAAAGGGGGGAAAAGAGAAAGAAAAGCAAACAAACCATGCAAGACCCTTCGGAAATGTAAAAAAGCAAAGCAAAAAGCAAACAAAGCATGCAAGACCCATCAGAAACATGATTAATTCATTCCGGCCGAGGGGGGGGGGGAACAAACAAATCGTCCAAAACATATCAAGCAAAGCAGAAAACAAACAAACCCTGCAAGACTGATCACAGCATAGAAACATAATCCCACCACCCAGCCCCAAACCACACTGCAAAACCCACCCATAACAGTTTTTTAAAAGTAGAAAGCAGCACCTTACCAGGCAGTCCGAAGCCTCCTCCGATCTCACATTCTCTAACTGCTGGGGCGAAAGAGTTACAAAGAAGCAGCTTCTTCGCCACCAACAGTTAGCAATTTGAATTCCTGCCATTTCCCCCCCTGACTTTTTCCGGCTGTAACTCAAAGCAGAAGCAAAATTTTGCAGCCAGAGCTGGTCGTAACTCGAAGGTCATATGTCAGGACATTTGTAAGTCAAGGCACCACTGTACATCACACATTTCATTTATCCAAGTGTCAAGTAATGCTTCTTTCATACATTTTCAAGGGTATTTGGGACCACATATTTGCACCACAGCCAGAAATGCAGTTATTTCTAAAAGAAAATGAACACAAATGTGTAAGTGTACTTGATCAGTGTTGGAGATGGACATAGTCTCATTCTATTTTGTTCACAGCTCATTGGTTTTCCAGGTTTGCATAACCTCAGTTCAGCCCAAATCATGCAATTATTATTTTTTTTTAATGACATTCTTACTTAAAGAATACCATGAAAGGAAACACATTTTCCTCTCTTTAAAGCTCTGTAGTCACAGAGACTCTACTCCCTTTAATAGATCTAAACAAAGGTGTACATTAAACTCCATTTGAAATACTGTAATATGCAATGTCCCACCTAGAATAGAAGCCAAGAACCTGAAACAAAATACCCACATCGAAAGCCAGCAGTTTGCATACAATAATGTGTAGTAAATCTGTAGAATAAAGTTTGTCATGATTCATGGTTTTGTGGGAAAGTATATAATTTAACTACTATCCAGGGACATTTAATTAATTGAAAACCCTTGTTCACTTGACACTAGTTCCTTGATAATGATATATTATCTTTTAATAAAGTACACATTTTCATTCTATCATGATTCAATCCCCCGCAGTATTCTCTCTTTTTAAATAAATGTTATATGGTCTAGCAGGAGTGTTTATGCTTTACTGGAGAAACCCACATTTTCAAAAATTACTGAACAAATATACCGAGCTCTCTTGTTACTCACAGAGAGAGAAAAACTTTAAAAAACGAGGGAGTGTTTTGATCAGCTACCATTATAAATGTCTACTTTCAGTTTTATTGCCAGAAAGATATTTCTGATAAAGAAATGTTAACTATTAAATTAGTGTCTTTATCTGAGACTGGACTGACCCTGGAATTGTTGTACCATTAGAAACATCCATGCTAACTGGGGCATACTCAGAATGAAACAGCAGGGTAAAGCAGAGATAGCTCAGTGCACTTACTATGACAACCAAGGTTTGTTTGAAAAACATTTCACAAGGAAATGCTCATGCCGTCACCACATAAAAACACAAGTTACCGACAGGGGTTATGCAGCACAAAGAATTCTCTTTTTTCCACCCCCTTATATTACGATAAAAGTGAGAACTGGGCTGATCTGATTCTTCCGGCTACAAATGAAAATCTGCAAGACTGATCCTTAATAGTTTTGCCATTAAATTCTGAAATAATGTTATGCTACTGGTTGTCCTGTTAATCTTCTTTACATGCCTTCTAACTAAACTGGAGTTTTCACAGCCTTTCACAGACCACCTTTCCCCAGAAGCTGGGGAAATGTGCATTTTGTATTTTAGCCATGTTTTTTGTGTGTTTCTTCTGGTAAAGTGCCCAGAGTGGCCTTTGGCCAGACAGGTGGTACAAACAAACAAACAAACAAATTATTGTATCATAGATAGTTTCAAACTGCTTCCAGCTTCCCAAAAACATTAACTAAGCAAAGGTCAAAACTGAATGGGATTATTTGTTTGAAATACAGGGGTGCCCCGCATAGCGACATTAATCCGTTCCAGATTAATCATCGCTATCCGGAAACATCGCAATGCGGGTGGGAAAACCCCATAGAAATGCATTAAACTTCGTTTAATGCGTTCCTATGGGGCCCAAACTCACCGTTATGCAAAGATCCTCCATAGCGCTGCCATTTTCGCACCCTCGGTAAGCGAGGAAACCGCGCAAAAATGGTTGCGGTGGCCATTTTGGAACCGCCAATCAGCTGGCCGAAAATGGGGCCGGCGCTGGGGCAGGAGGGCGGGGGAAGGCTCCTCCGCCCTCCTCCCGAGTGCACGCCGGCATTTTCCCCCAGCTGACCAGTGGGAGGTTCGGAAGGTCCGAAGCCCCCACCGGTCAGCTGGGGGAAAATGGGGCCTATGGGGAAAAATCTAAAAGCGATTTTTCCCCATAGGGAACATCGCAATACGGTCGCAAAAGCGATCGCAAAATCATCTTTGCTATGCGGATTCGCCGTTAAATGGGGCGCCCGTTCAGCGAGGCACCACTGTACAATAAATACAATCTAATTGCAAAACCCTGGCCTCTGATAACTGTACAAATATTGCTCTTCTGTTTTTATAGAAAATAGATTCAATACTGACTTTTGAAATTCCAGGCCACATTCTCCTCTGCAAGTTCATAGCTAAAAAGGAAAAATACTGACTTTTCTCAGTTTATAAAACACTACAAAGCAGAACAAGAGATGGGGAATGAAAGGAACTTACTGGGAAGGTTTTGGTCTCTGCAGTGAGTAAGGTTTATTGTCTGTTCAGTCAGGTTATCACTTCTATATTACGTGGACAGCATAGAACCATCATTCCTTGCCTTAAAGGGCACACACAAACACTTAGGCAATTAATTAGTTCCCAATGGATCAGAGAGGACGGACACCACCAAGATAGCATGGATGACTGTAGAGATGGCAACTGTGCAGAGGACACAACTTGGGTGAGGCTCCCTATGTCTAATCAGTTCCCCATGCAGACTCTCCATCACCTTACCAAAGTGAAAACAGGATGGATTGCTATCTAAGCTCACTTTTACCCTAACAATAGTATTCTGAGTTAAATTTACTGAGAAGGGAGTCAAGTCCAGTAAAAGCGTTAAGAACAGGTTTCAATTTGGTTAGCTAAACACCAATTTTTGTGTTATTTAAAAAAAAAAACAGCTATTGCAAGTGATTATCACTTTCACCACACATTATCTCCATTTCTATTCTTTCAGAAGATACCAGGAATTAAACAAGTTTTTCAAAACATCTAAAAAGTATTTAAACTTGAATTTTTTTTAAAATTGCCCTTAAGCTTTATAGTTAGCAGCACGTTTCAAAATCATAGCTTTACAAGCAAAAGCAGTGACTTGTGGAGGTACAGAAGAGACTGTACTATAAATCAGATTCTTTGAAAAAGTTACTGTTAAAATATGCAATGTGATTTATGCAACTCAATAATTTGTCCATCAGAAGAACTTTCTGTTTGCTGTGTAGTCTGTATTTTCTACCTACACATCTGCTGCTGCTTTTTGTTGTTGTTAGCAGTTTTGCAATACAGCTTTGCATACTGCTAAGCTTCAGCTGTTTTCCTAACTAAAAGAAAAAAAGAGAAAATTTTGTTGCTTTAGAGTTCAGCTTTCTGTGCATCTGAAACATAAATCAAAATCACTTTACAATCTATTTTCAAGATGAGAAAGACAGAAACCATCACTTACCATTTCATATGCTGTTACAATTTTTTTCAAAACCTCTGGAACAATGCCTTGCAATTCCATAGAGGGATACTGATCATTAAGATTCACGACCACCAAGGAGGTGTTATCTGATCTCACCAAGCGTGTAGATACTGCTAGAATGCACTGCATAAGATTTGCTACAGGAGAGAGGCCACACAGCTCTTTGAAAGAAACTACTGCATTCTGTTCAAAAGAAAGATTGAAATTATATTTCACTGATACATAATTTGAGACTCTAATTTACTCAATAATAGACTTTAAAGTCATGGTATAATATAGTAGATGCAATTGTTGTGATTACCTATTTCTAACTTGGCCTTCAAGACACAGCAGTTCCCCCAAAGCTGCCATGCATATCTACACTATGAAGAATATTAACATATGCAAATAGACTAAAATGCCACTATAAGAAATCAATGTCACTTCTCAAATGCAGTTGACAAGAATTATTTCCTCACATGCAGAGGAAATTACTCATGCTGTTGGAACTTCCATTATCATGTTCTCTACTTGAAAACCTTTCAGATTTCAGTGTCCTGCAACATTTTTATCTCTAAAAGGTTAACTATGTTATTCCCCTCATGCTTCACAGTTATTAAAAATAACAACCCTGTATTATGTCCTTGATAACTTATTCCTGAATGAATAACTTTTTGGTCTTGTCCAAGATTAGTAAATCTCTTCCAGTTGCCTTCAACTTCTGATCCATCCCTTCACTATCTAAACAAATCAGAGGCAGAATTGATATGGCAATGGTTAATCCAAAGCAGCTGAACATAAAAATATACCCAGAAAAGCAAAAATATCGATTCTGACCTACAATACCTACAATTATGTCACACAGAAATCCTGCTATGCAACAGTAATGATGTCAGCATCATTCCTTTGGGAAGTTTGGGGTGCGCACAACTCTGTTGCATTTGTACAAATCAGATACATCCCCAAATCACCTTTAATCAGTGGTGATTTGTACTGATGATAATATCATCTGTTATGCATACAGAGCTGTGCATCAGGATTTCAGCTAATACGTATTAGAAAAATAGATATGTGTTACATCTGTAGCTTTGTATATATAACACTAAATTTTAAGAAAGTAAACAAAAGGCTGTACCTGCATGTTTTCTCTCAAATCTGTGGCATCCCGTATGGGCTGGAGAGCAGTCTTGAATACCTCATCAATAGTTTTAATCCATAATGTCCTCATGCAGGCATAGTCTCTGGATTTCTTGCTTTTCCTCACAGAAAGACCCCTTTTATGAGGCTTCCCGCCACCCCTACGATTAGTAATTGCCACATGGACAAACAAAGAAGTATGTGCTAGAGGTTCTCCTACTAAAGACTGTAGAGGTACATGACGGTATCCTGTCTGTAAACACTCAAAAGGAATTGTGTACTGCCCAATAAATTCATCCCCAATATAATCATCATCTAGCACTACAAACCGCACCATGGCAAGTTCAGGTAGATTAATCTGAAATTCAAAACTCTCATCAAAAATCGGATTGTCTCCATTCTGGTGTACAGTTTTTGTCCTTTGCTCTGCACAGTCTGCTGGGATTCCATGGATTTCTACATAGACATACGGATCTACAACATCACCTTTGGCACCTGATCCTTTTGGTTTGGGAAAGTTCTGCCCACTAATAATCTTAACGTGAAGAAGTTGAGGTGAAACTCCTGGCACAGTATCCTTCGTATTGGCACTAAAGAAAGATATTTCTTCACGCATGATAGCAGGCCGCAGTACATAGCCACAGTTACCATTTTGTCGAAACCAACCAATGTTGAGGTCCATCATCAGTCCAGGTGTCTGGAAGTTCATTGCCACTATCTGACAGCCACACTTCCAAAAATCCTGTGGGTTCATATTACTGGAATCAATTCTCATGGGACTAGGAAAAACTCTGGCCAGAAAACGTTTGTTGTAATTCACAAAGTCTCCAGGGTTTTCATTCGCATATTTGGTAGCAAGCACTTCATTAAAGGAGCAAACTTCCCAGTATTTCTGAAGCTGAAATGAAACCTGAAAATCTTTGAACTGAACTGACTTACAGATGCTGACCAGTTCTGAAAGCTCCTTACAGAGCTGAAACCGTTTCACTGGGACAGGGTTCTGTTGCTCCACCCCCTCCTTTGCCACTCTCTGTGACATTTCAGCTCCTTCATCTTCATCTGTAACATCTCCCTCTAGTCCAGAACAATTAGAAGATAACTTTTTCGCTTTGATCAGTATTTGCCCTTTCAGAGATTCAGGAGAAGGCAGGTAAGATTCATTTGTGTTTGGAGACTGTGTGTACAGCTTGTCTCCCAAAATTTTCTTTAAATGTTGAACCATCACTTTTTGCTGCTTGAGAGAACAATGGTTTTCTAAGCACAAAATAAGAGGGTATTCTGAAGCAAAGAATGCATATTTGTTAATAATGTCAATTACACTGCGGAAGACTATCTGCGAGGTCATTGTGTGCCCAGTAAAAATTACAGGCTCATTGTCAGGACCATCCCATACATCCAACTCAACACTTCGACATCCCATTTTCAGTGCACGAATATATCCTGTGATGTCAGATGGGCCTCGGAATTGGTCCTCTATCAAGTACGTATTGTGAGATGAATTAATGAAATAATGAGATAATGGTTGGTTCATGTCCTGGCATATCTTTTTATGTTCTGGGTCAAATATATGACATTCTGGGGAAGTAAGATAATTTGTAAAACCATCAATGGAAAGCCAGCCCTTTTCCTGACCCTCTTTAGATGGCTCATATTTATGAATAATATCAAAGCTTATTTCTTCAGTGACATGTGCCATACCCTGTTCTGCTTCTAAAAACATCATAAGGTCCTTGGTGTCAACAAATTCTTTATTGCTAGAAAACTGAACTAACAAGAAATAAATTTCAGGGCGAGTGCAAAGCTCATGAAAAACTTCAATAAATTCTTCCTTTGTGACTTCTATACCAGGTTTATCTTTTGATCTGTGTAGCTCTTTGAATTTCAGTTCAATTTTACTTGTCTTTAAACCAGGATTCAAGTTTTTTATAAACTGTACAGCTCTGCACAAGGATATATGCCCCAAATCATCAACATCTGTTTCACTGAACATTTGGGAAACCCATGAAGTCCGCATTTTATCTTGGCTACTTTCTAGCATATCCAGCGTGTGTTTTCCATAAGATATTAGGTACCTTAAACCAGTAACCCAAATGTTTGCAACATCCGCAGAATTTGCAACAAGATCTAGAGATTCGTAATTCTCTCCATAAATAATTGAGAATGCACAGTCTTCTGATATCTGATCAGAAATTCCATTACTGCGAAAAATGTCAGTATTTTTCCCTGTTCTCACTTCTTTGATAGATTTAATGTCAATCTTTGCTTTTTCAGAATCCTTCTTCGATGGTTCCCAACGGAGGGACTGCATATCTGCATCTAAAAGGAAGTACCGATGATATATTCTAGAATTTGATCGAACCTTTCGGAGTTCCGAGCCTTCAACCATGGCATTAATACAGTCGCTTGCACTACTAATCTTCTTCTCGGTAGGCATGCTGCTAAAGGACACTGTCTTCTTCCGTTCTCTTTTTTGCTTCGTACCATCCTGGAAGCAGAAGAAGAGAAATTTTGTAAGACAATTGCCATATGACCAGAAAACACTTCTACAGTTTTAATTAGGACTAACTAGTTGGCAACAAATGATGAGGCTTACAAACAGAAAATAAAAAAGGAACAGATGTGCAAGCCAATCCTTTTCAAATTTATTTAGAGGTTTCATGGGATATATTTCTAAGTAAACATGGGATTACATACAACCTTAGATATTCTTAATGGTTAATGGCCACTGTCCTTGTGCAACAGCCCTATGAAATTATCTTTTAAGGGTCTAAAACCTTTAGCTTCTAGCCCCTAGCTTCTGACACAATGACAAAAATACCCAGTTTTTTTCATAGTAGCAAGACAGGGAGGGTGTATGGGTTGGGGACCATTCCAACTGCACTAAGGGACAGAAAAAAGGGATCCTTGCTGAGAGGATGAAAAAGATGATATGTCAAATAGCAGTGGCTCCCAACCTTGGGTATACAGGTGTTCTTGGGTTGCAATTCCCAGAAGCCTTCACCACCAGCTGTGCTGGCCGGCGTTTCTGGGAGTTGCATTCTAAGAACACCTGGGCTACCCAAGGTTGGGAACTACTACTATAGATGGATAAACAGACTAGCATTGCCTTTCTGGCACTGAAGCAAATTGAAAGATAGCAGGAAGACCATGGTTTCATAATTGAAACACTTCTTTACCCAAGAAGAGTTTGCTCAGGATGAAAGGCCTACTCACAACCGAAGTCCTACTCATCAATATAAAAACAGAGTGAACAGAGAATGGGAAGGGTTTGGAGAACTGCTTAGAGAGAAAAGATACAAAGAAACCAAAGGAGGAAAAAAAAGCAGCCAAGAAAGAAAGATTTTCTGAGCTTGACTCAGAGCAAGCATAAGAAGATGAAACACTCATACATAACATGTCTATTCATTCACCATGAAACCCTCAGCAACCATAAAGAACTGGTCAACAAGGACAGTCTAAAGATCTGGGGAAGAGGGGAGAGGCAGATTAAAAATTATTATACCAGTGTAATGTAGTGTAATTTAAAGAATTAATGTTAGCTACTAATGCTTCATAAAGTATGCCAATGGTTCTCAAACTTGGGTCACCAGATGTTCTTGGACCGCAACTCCCTGAAATCCTGGACAGCACAGCAAGTGGTGAAAGCTTCTGAGAATTGCAGTCCAAGAACATCAGGTGACCCCAGTTTGAGAACAACTGAAGTATACCACACATATTTAGTCCATCATGATTGTTTAAAAACTAAAACTCTTATTTCCCTACCTCTTGATTCTATGTTTCCAGCGCAGGGAACATTTAATGGATGGGTTATCTGTCCATTAAATTATCCATCTTTAACTTGTAGCATAATAGTCTTTAAATTGATGGTCTCTAGTAGCTGGTATATTTACAGCAATGTAATATGATAAATCAAGATAACAGCACCAACATTTGCACAAATATTGCTGTATCATTGTCTCATGAAAGGGTGTATTAGACACATTATTTACATCACTGGAATTTGTGATTAGTTTGGATTTTACCATAGTTCATTTTTATGTTATATGTAAACTGCCCAGAGTAGACACATTCTAGATGGGTGGTATATAAATCTACATAAATAAATAAATAAAATATGTAGAAAAACCATACTTTCAACAGAAGAAGAGCTCAGCTGTAAAAGCCCCAAAGGCGAAAAAAACGTTAAACGAAGCAAACGTTATGCGAGGCACCACTGTATGTAGAAAAACCATACTTTCAACAGAAGAAGAGCTCAGCTGTAAAAGCCCCAAAGAGGTTTGAAATGTTATTTGAAATGACAGAGAAGGTCAATAGAGAGAACAATAAATGTGAATCACCAAGTTAGATTTCTGAAATCATCAAGTTAACCAGAAGCAAAGATTTTCTAAAACATTCACTGTAAAGCAAAATAAGTCACACTAAAGATGCTAATACTGTCCATACAAGGGCTGACCTACACAAGGGAGCATAATAAGTGTTTGTGAGGATATAAGATTGCAGAGTGTATAAGCTGGTATAACCACTACAAATGAGAGCCAATCAGGCATACTCACCAAATACATTCCATTTAAAAAGTAACATAAAGGCCAAGGTCAAAATCCAATTGTTAGTCTCAGCTGGAAATAGACACTTCTTATTCTTACTAGAAACAAAGCCCAGCACCGATGTGGCACCGATTCCCATCCCCCTCTCCCAGAACTGGCTGGCCCACTTACTGGGCTCTGTGTAGCACAGGGATTCACCTTCAGCACCAGCGCACCAATCCAGGAAGGAGCCCAGCCAGCCATTGGCAATTCCCCACACAGCCGATCAACTGCGGTGCAAAGTCTTCCCACTCAGCCAATGACTGGTTGGCTGCAAGGGGAGGTGGCAATGGCCGGCTGGGCTCTTTCCCAGATTGGTGTGCCAGCACTGAACGTGGACTCCTGCACTGCGCAGAGCCCTAAGTGGACCAGCTGGTTCTTGGCATGGGGGACAGGAATCAGTACTTTCTGTGGTACCAGGCTTCATTTCTAATATGAATACAAAGCACCTATCTCTAGTCTCGGCTATAGCAGGGTCATTCAATCAATGGGAGCTACATATGTGTAGAACTAACAAGTACCATTCGTTCAAGGACTCTGTTCTAGCTGAACCTAACTACTGGATTCAGATGAATAACAAAGCTTAGAAAACTTTATTTCTTGGTCCATTATTTAGAAAATCTCCCGTCGGTGTAGCCTGCAGGGTAAGTATTCTGGGAGTTGCAATAAAAAAAAACTTTCCAAGATTTACTTAACACGCCACTCCAATATACACATGAAAACATGTATTTGGCCTTCTCAGTAATCGTCCCTCAAATTTTCAGCCTCGCTAGACAGGCCTTTGCCCCTCATTTGTGAAACGCAGCCTCAGGACAGCACGATGACGCCCATCCCCTTGTGCAGGGTTCCAGCACAACAAGAACCCAAGTGGTTGAAAACAACTGTGGGTGCATGGAGGATGAGGAGCCCTGCACAGAGGAGGCAGAGGTGTGCGCACCTTGGAGGAAACTTCGCTTCTCAGCTTGTCCTATGTGAAGGGGCAGATAAATAAATATACCTGCTTTCCTAGCTGAAATTTAAAGGAGAAGCCCCTAAAGGCAATGATGTTCAAAGTGCATCTTATTACAAGTTGTATCTCACAACAGACAAATTCAAGACGTATCTCACACAAAATTGAAGAATAAAGAGAGCAACCCTCCCACTGCCTTAGACCCATGCTGTGGATTATAGTCAATGGTTTAAAAGTGCATTTTTTCTGCTTAAATTTAGGTATCCATACATCTCTTTAAAACTGTATTTCCAAAAGTATTTTCAGAACATTTATAATATTCATAATTTTTATTGAAAGAAACAATTTTGCTACCAAAGACTGCTCAAGGCAGCATACAAAATAAAATTAAAACCATAAAGCTATTGTACGCACGCACGCACGCACGCACGCACACACACACACACACACACACAGAGAGAGAGAGAGAGACCAAGACCGTGTTGCTTAGCATAGTGAACAGCATGAGAGCAGGTCCACTGAATCAAAAAGAATATAATGAGTCAACTCCTCCATAAATTCCATTAATTTAAGTAGGCCTGGGATTTCCAAACTGTGTGCCATGGCTCCAAGGGGTGCTGTGAACTCTAGGAAGGGGCGCCACGGGAAAAGCAATGGAACATAGAGCTATGAAGGCTTAGAGGAACTGTTCATAGCTCCAGGAACAGCTCCGTTGGCTCTTTCGTTGCTCTATGAGCAGCTCCTGTATAATTTTCATAGCTCTGTGTCTAACTGGAATTGGAGGCCTTGTCCCTGCCTCTCCTTTCTCCATCTCTGTGGTCTTCAGGGAAAGTGCTTGCTGAATAACCTCAGGAGTTTCCTGTGTCAGGACCTGGAAGGAGGTGGATCCTTGGGGATTTTGGGGAGGGAGGAAACAGGATGCCTGGGAGGGGAGGGTGAAGCTCCTGCTCCTGTTGGGAGAGAGGGCCCTGATGGCCCCTCTGAACAAGGGGAGCTGTGGCCATTGGTCAGAAAATGAAGGGAGCTGTGAAGCCAAAATGTTTGGGAACCACTGAAATAGGCCTATTCTAACTCTGATTTACTTTAGCAAAGTAAACGTGTGTCAAAGTAGGCCGCCCTATTTGAATCAATGGGATTTATAAAGGAATTAACTTACTAGATCCCCATGGATTCAGTGGGCCTACTCCAGTGTGATTTACTATACGAATCAATAGGATGTTGGCCAATACAGTTTAGTGAAATACACAGAATGCAGGAAAATTAAGTAATACTACTAAAACCTATTTGTGGCTACAATACTATAGGGCTCTTATTCAACTGTTGACTTGCTGCATTGATTACTATTCTGGTTTACTCTGGCTGGGTCTACTCCCGTTGAAACTAACAACTGCAATTAGCCCATGACCAATGAGGAAAGCTCATCTCCAAATACCAAGGACAGTATGAGTCAACAAGGGAGAAAAAGAATGCTCTCACCTGTGGCATCTTAAATATTGAATACTCAGTTCATTTTTGTTTATTCAGGCATTTCAACTGGGTGATGCATTTTAGTATTTATTTTCTGTTTTATTTTTAGGATGGAATTTGATGCAGATATTGCTTAATACTTGTAAGGAGGAAGGAACTTATAAGGATGTTCCTTAAATGTGAACATATAGATGGTTCAAAGCAAGTACCAAACCAAAGGTGCAAAGAAATACATGACTTTGCAGAAGTCTGGGAAACGATAATAAATCTAAAGTTTCTGCTGAAACAGTCTATTATGCAATGAACATGTGTCTCAATAAAGCAATTTCTACACTATGGCAACCCCATCTGGAGGATTACTGTAGAATAAATGCTGATATTCCTTAGAATACATTACTAATAGAAATGCATCAGACTAAATAATTAACATAAATCCCTGCAAATAAAAAATAAACCATGCCAGATACAAGACTGTCCACATTTACT